TGAAACTCCTCAAATCATAGTAGAAATTATTCTTGGTTAATAATTTAAAACTTTAGAATAAGTAATCACTATTAATTAAATTATTTTATTCACATTTTTGCTTTATTGTGGTCAATCAGTTTTTACTTTATCTAAATTAAAAAATGGAAATACGTCACACATACGACGTCAAACTGTCAAACATAATAATTATGACCGAGGTGATTTAGATCGAAGCTAACGTCTAAAGGTGTGAGACTATCGATAGTCGTAATGTAATGTAATGTAAATTATAGGTTTCTATCGATTATTTCCCACCTCTACGAGTTTCATCTCCTTTTATTTCACAAGGTAACTGTGTTTTCTATCTCTTACGTTAAAAAGCCGGGTGATAAGGCACTCACCACTGTATAGTACGCAGCTTTTGATATTTATACAGATTTCTCGAAGGGCTTTGACAGGGTTAATCATATCCTTATAGTTCGCAAACTTGCAATTAGTTTAGGTGTACCTATTGTTACGTGGATAAAAACTGTTACTGTCACACTACATTCTACATTATGTTATGGTCGTATTATATTTCAATAATACTGCTTATTGCACTATGTTAAATACTTTTTCTATGTCTATATATACATCATATCATCATCATATATAAAACACTTGTTTGTGTTATGCTAAATTGTTAAACGATTTTTCCTAAATATATTAACGTTTTTTACCTGAGACTCGAAATACAAAACCAACCTAAAATTTAATATGGTATTTAAACTCACAATACAAACTCTATTCTGTAATTTCCATAAAAATGTTACGCATATAGTTATGTATAGTAATGCACGTTCAGATAAGATTCATGTTGAGCAGTGATCAATCAGATGATATCTATATTAAGTAAGATGTATTTTTATGATGTAGCCATACCGCTATACCTCTTTATAAAGAACAGAGAAGATTATATAGTGAATGATTGTTGGTTTGGTCATATTTTAAGAATGGTATACATTCCTATTCGTTTCATTTCCAGCGATAGCCGATGCTGTACGTCATTATTATTTCAATAGCAATTGTTTCGAGATAGATAGAGAGAGGCTTTTTTTCGATGTGGTCTGTTTTTTATATTCATTATACCGTCCTCGTTCATTTAACGCTTTTATCGTTAAAATCGAACAATTATCAAAACATTCTAAATTATGTTATGGTCGTAGATAAAATTGTATGCAACTCGTAACGGTTAGTTACTGGATTAAATAACATTTGATACTCCCCACACCGTTTTTTTTTATTTTATTTATTTATTAACGGGATACCACCCAATTTAATATATACACAAAGTATTACAAGTATTATCTAGTGATACAATAATTATAAAGCTATAGTAAATATGTATGAAAAGAATTGGCGATGCAGCTATATAGAAAAAAAAACAAATATTAAAATTATATAAAGCACATAGCAAATATAAATCACATAAAATTCAAAATTTTTTTAAACACATTTTACAGACATTTTCCGAAGCGCACAGCAACAAATCAAAGTCTATTCTATTTCATTTAAAATGATTCTCCTCAGTGGAGAATGCCTACCAAAGTTAGAGCAATGAAATTTAATTGCAAAATTATGAGATGTTCTAGTAACTCTAGAGGGAACATTAAAGTCAATTAGAGACAGTAGATCATTGCAATTAATTTTTGAATTCAATAGTTTATGAAGAAACAAAACATCAGCATACATCCGTCTGGAAGATAGCCTAGGAAGGTTTAATGTATTTCTAATAGATAAAAGTAGCTGTGGACTAGCACGTTTTTGTGCAAGTACGATGGGATGCTTTCTCTCGTATGAGATGTCAGCGTTGTGAATTCTTCCACCAACTCGAATTATGTCATCTTGATCAAGAAAAGGATTCAGAGTAAGAAGTTGCTTTTATCATCGACCTTGCCATGTTTTTTGAGATGTGTGAAATCATCAGAGAAAGACTGATTTTGCACAATGCGAATAAGACAGATCAGAGAACAGGCAATTTCGTCACATGTTAAATTGGTAAAGGTTCTTTCTGGCATGGTTAGCCTGGAATTTTTGCAGAAACGTAATATGTAGGCTACAATTCGTTGTAATTTAGTCAAGGAAGAAATTTTGTAAATAATGTCAATATTCATGCAAATTCTTGCGGATAGATTAACGGAAGATCGAAGTTCAGGAATTTTAACGTGATTGAAGGGTTCTCTGTTGCGTTCAACTGTCTCTTTGATGATTGACAACTGTCGTGCTGTTAGTATTGTGTCTTAGTAGGTTATTCTATTTGTTGTTACTTGTGTTTTCCAAGAGGTTGTTGACTTTGATAATGTATGTAGTTCTTTGTGTGTATGTGTTCGTGTATACTATGTGCGTCCAATGTATTATTCTATTAAAATCAGAATTTGATATTTTGTAATAAAGATAGTTAATAATTTAAATTAAACCTGTGGTATTGAATTGATAGATTCTTGCTCGGTTTGATTCTTCACAACCTTCCCATATATTCTGCTTATAGATCCAGTTGCAACGATTCCGCGGAAATTTTCATAATTGTTCTTGTCACCATGTTTATCTATACTACTGAGATATGACGTTTTCAATAACTTAGGGATTTCGCAGATATTCGTTCCGTATTTAAACAGTTCTTCGGGTATATCTCCTGGTCCGGGTGCTTTGTTCGTCTTCAGATATTTACATACATTTTTAATTTCTTCTGTTATTAATCTAATTCGCAAGCATACTTTTACGATTCTGACTTGGTTTTGGTTTCCACTTTATTGAAATTCTACTATATTTTGTACTAAAAGTTCTTTGAAATACTCTTCCCAATCTTCAGGCTTTATACTCTTTATTATGTCTTTTATCTTTGTCTTCTTCTACGGCACTACAGCCCAAAATGAGCCTTTTATCTTTGTGCGGGCTCTAAATTTCTTGATTACATTATAAGGAGAATTACATTTTGATTCTTTTTATATCAGCTACATTAGTTGCAAGATTCAATAATTATAAAAATTATATGTAATACAAGGGTTTTACAAACATTTTAAAATAATACATACTTATAAGTGTATGGCCAAGTGCTTCCGCTGCACGGTGTAGACGGAATCCTGCACCGGATCCACATATCGCTGGACGGTCTCGGTCCTAAGAGCTTCGACTTGGAATGCAGGCTTGTCGAAGGTGACCTTTGTTTCAAGTTAAGAAAATAACATTACGCTAATGGAGATCAGTGTTGCCAAAACTCTCAGACACTCTCTTTTGCACGGATGTCCAAGATATTCCCTTTGCTTAATTTTTGAATTTTCATTTTCAATTAACATTTAACTGTAAAGTCAGAATAACTACTAAATAAAAGCCTTATTATCATTATGTAATCAGAGAGCGACATAAAATCGCTGACATACGCACATCGTATTATTTTAAGTTGCAATTAGTAATTAGATATACGCATTCCAAGCAGTCAATATTTTCTACTGATTTCTATGATTCATGGCATATCGTATTCTCACCGAAAAATAAACTGTCATTACTATAATTAAAATAAGATAAAATAAAATTATCTTTTGTAAATACTATTTATCTAATTAAAATCATTTTCCCTACTTTTCATCTCTTGTTTCGAATGGGCACTTTTGGTCAATTACGTTAAAAAACATTAATTTAATTCATGTCTGTGGAAACGAAAATACAAATTATACAACCCTAAATTGTGCTTGTGTATGTCGTGGCAACGCCGCGTTGCTATCGTCCATAAGAAATACATGGCCCTATCTCCGCAATGTTATTTTCTAAACGTGGAACGTAGTTACCTATAGCACGTCAAGGGTTTCAGGCAGGTGGTCGACGAATTACGCCTCGTCGACGGTTGTTAGTTCTTTGAAGGTATTGTCGTACACAAATAACGCATCGGATGCCTGGTAGATATCGACAAAATATTTTTTGCTGAAGTATTTTGTAATACTGAAGTTATCGTCTGGGGCATCGTGGAATAACATTACGGTTTTTAACTAGAACCTAGCTGTAAGATCATGCAGTATGACTGGTCCCGCAACTCACGGTGGTAATGCCCCAGGTCTTCTGGGTCCCAGGTCTGGTTAGAGTTCGTCTTCCGTTCGTGGTGGATTGCAGCGTGGGGACTGTCTCTTATTGGTGGGGATCAGCTTTATTATTGTAGCCGAATTTCTAAAATGACTAAAATCAACAGTGAATCGGCTGAAGAAGACCTAGTAGCCTATCCTGGCTGAACTTTATCTCACTGTCCATTGAAGTGCATCCCCATGCAGGCCATTGTCCACGATGTATTCGTAACACCACCTTCCGTGGATGCCTTCTTCGGGGCCCTAATCCACAGTTTTCCGTAGGAGTTTTTCTCGACGTCGAAACCAGAAAACTGCGACGGTGACGGCATGCACTTCAGTGTGGCGTCTTGTAGCATGACAACTGTGGAACTTCGTACGACTTGACGAAGAGCTTCCAGGAACATCTGAACTACTGACTAGTCATCAGTGGGTGCAATTTCGTAAGGCACCACGGCAGAACTCGACTCCCATCTCGGCCATGACTAATTCGATGGAGTTGGTCGACTATTACCAACAAGAGGATTTTTACTGGGCACTCTAGTATCTCAGTTTCTGCTGTTGTCGGTGGATTTGTGGTTTCTCGCTACTTAATATTCTTGATACGGGAGTAAGGATCGATAGGTAGGAAGAAAATCTGTAGAATAGATCCGAGAAGTACCTACCAGCAAGACGTCTTATGGTGGTCAAGTAGGAAGAAAAATGGGAATAGATGAAAGCAGATTATTTAATTTTCGATGTAAACAATACTTTAAGATGCAGTGTAAATAAATATCGAGTATATCTGGTACATAAATAAGATTATATTTAAATTTAATATTACGATTTTATTTAAATTTAATCTTAATTTACTATTATTATTATTGTTTATAACATAAACAATAATAACAAATAATTTATATATTATTTTTAACATGCATTTTGTTTTAGACTTATGGAGGAAACAGTTTCTTTGTACGTTTGTACCGGGGATTTTTTGAAACCAAAACTATCATTAAAGATATGTGGCGAAGCAACCCAATAATGACGTCGCTAATCTTTATTATTCCTCTCATGTTTTTGAGTTTCATTTTCTATACTTTATGCTTTACCGATGTCACAGGGAACATGGAAGAAGAAGAAGAGGAATATGATAATGAAGATGAAGAAGACGGTAAGTAAATTATATATCACGAGCCAGCTCCCTTAATACATATTTTAAATGTTTCTGTATTAGATCATATCAATGACATTATGCTTCTTAAACATTTTCGCATACTTATTTTTAGAAATTCGGTATTATGAAATAATGCTGGTTTCACATCACCTATGTGTAATTTGCATTTTCATCGGTAAACTTATGTTATCAATGTATTATGTTAAAAAATGCTGTCGAAAAAAACACCCGATAAAATTTAATCTGGGTAGTCCCAGAAGTACCCAGCCTGACCTAGATATGGCGGTAGTTTTTTGAAAAAGCCACTGTATTAGAAAGTACATAATCTATATAAAGCATATGTTTCAAGTTTGAAGGCGCCACGTTGTTAAGTATTTGTTTGGCAGCTGTCAGTAGTGAATGTTTTTGGCGAATTTGTGAAAATGGAGAAGAATGGTCATCGTTATCTGATACAATACTTTTACTGGAAAGGATTGAGCACAACCAAGTAAGAACCGAACTGGAGTCTACTCTGGGTATGTCTGCTCTTTTGTTTACAACATTTAAATATTGACTAAATGAGGTGACGACTCCAGAAACGGTGAAGACAATCCACAAAGTGGTACCAGAGGATCGTCGACTGAAAGTGCGCGAGCTGGCAGACTTACATAGTAGACATTTAAAAAATGCGTTACATCGCGTATTAACTGAAAAGTTGGATATGGAAAATCTGTGGGCAAGATAATAGTGTCGTGACGATGTTTCAATTGAGTATTTAGCAAAGTTTCACAGCAACAAAGCAGAATTTTTGACAGACCTAAGACAAAAGAATACAATAAAAAAAAGGACTCGAAAGGAAGAACCGGCTCCAAAGACGGCGAAGACCATGTCATCTACAGCAAAGTCGTGATGTCTGTTTATTGGGATATGCATGAGATTATTTTCATTGGTTATCTTGGGAAAAAAACTATCAACGGCGAGTATTACGCGAACGTAATGCAACGTTTGACCGAAGAAATGCCACCAGATCATAGATCCGTTATTGCAATAACAAAATTCATGAATTAAAGTTTTCATTGGTACCCATTGGTAGGCAAAGGTCTAGGAATGCGTGAAGCTCTTTTTTCACTGAATATACTGATACAAAGATGCCTGGACGTCAATCAAGATATATACGCATGTTTTATTGACTATAATAAAGCATTCGATAAAGTACGACATAAACAATTAATGAATGTCCTGAAATCAAAGAAGATTGACTACAACGACCTCAGGATAATATCAAATTTATACTATAAACAGCGAGCAAAAGTACGTGTTAACGAACAGCTGTCAGAAGAAATTGAAATTAGATGTGGAGTGAGACAGGGATGCGTATTGTCGCCAATTCTTTTTAATGCCTACTCCGAAGAGATCCTGAAAAAAGCTCTTGAGGGTGAAACAGCTGGAATAAAGGTAAATGGAATTCTTATTAACAACCTTAGATATGCGGACGACACTGTGATCCTAGCCGAAAACATTGAAGATCTTCAGAGACTGGTGACCAGAATAGCAGAGTATGGAAAAGAGTATGGTCCCAATCTATTAGGGAAATGACTATCCACCCTGTTATCTAGAAATATTATAGGCATGTCGCCAATTGCAGTTAAGTCAGTTGTCATTGGTTTATCAATGTCTGACTCGATTCTCCACTTTTCTCTTGCTAATTTTAAAATTTTGTCCGAACGCGACATCTGCAAAAAACACGGTATATAAATACTCACCTATATAAATTTCTGTATTTTTCTTAACAGTTTGTATTTACTAAATACACTTAAAACACGTTTGGTAAGGTAACATGATAATAACCACATGGGCACGATTCCACGATTTAACTACTTTCTAACGGTTGGCGCAAGACGCGGTTGGCACTTTTAGCGTAGTGGGGGTCTTATACATGGAGGTAGCTTGTTTTTCTGGAGGCTATTTGAAAGGTTTACGATAAAAATTAGGAGTTAACGGTTTGTGAACTAATAGATAGCTGGGTAAAGAAAGCAATACACAAATAAAACGATATAACGAAAAAAGTGGAGTTAGCTTGTTTGCAGATTAAATCATCGTTTTGTTTATACTATTAATATTGGCTATGAGCACATGTGATTGATTATATAGTAATTTCAAGTCACTTTCAGTCAGTCGAAATTCAACAAACAGCAAAAAAATGATTACTAACTTTACTAGAAAGTTTGGCCTGGGATCAGCGTATGGAGTACATATTATTTGTTCATTTTTACATTTAAAAAACCAAATAATCTTAAATATCCCATCATGATAGGTGTTGTCGATCCTATGGCCAAGCGGACCAGCGCACGAATCCTGACAGGGGCCATAAAAACATAAACTATAAACCATATCATAAAATTCAAAATGGCTCTGAGACTTAAATTAGAATTTGCTAATACATATGTCTATATCGTCAGTATCTTTAGTACAAATCGGCCTATGGATGAGCAGTGCAGTGCAGTAGATTTGGTCCTAAGAGTTAATGTTTACTTGATGATTACCCATTCCATACACACTACTGATTTTGAAGCTATTTTTGTTCTGAAGGGATAATTGGATTTTGACGATTTTTCTCTTATATTATAGGTCTCTTTCTATTAAATCACTGTATTAATGTTTTCTGATAAATATCAACGTTTTACCCGTATACGGAGAGTAAAAATAAAGTTAAAGTTTTTCATCGTATTTTGAAACACCCTGTGGAATTTATTAGAAAGAAGCGCTACACCATATTAATATTTTGAGATAGTTTCAACCTTTGCGAAGATTTTTGTAAAAAAATTATCTCGATATCTCTATTATCAAAGATTATACAGAACTTTAAATGTTACAAGTTTTTATTAACATTTAAAGCAAAGAAAACACTACACATACAAACTCTATTTAAAACTAAAGCCTAAGAAAACATAAACTAATAATCTTTAACAATTCTCTCTCCCAAAAACACTTACGGAGTATTTCTACCTCTACATCTAACGACTTCTTCATTTACATCTAAAAAGAAAATTATTTCCTTTCTAAGGAGCAAATGGAACTACATTGGTTACATGGTTAGACAAAATGTCTGTAATATACGTTTCCCTTGTTACAGAACCTCTTCGTAAAGCAACAAGTTCGTGCTGTAAGAGATATTCTTCCCAAAACCGTTATCTCCTCCATTGAATAAAGTAATAGGTCGTATATTGGGCTGTACGTAGCGTTTTCTTGGCCGTCGGATAACTCTCATATGTCTATCTGAGCTATATAAGCAGTGCCTCGGTTTATCAGTGAACAACAAGTGCTCCAAGTCATCAAAATTCCAGTCAAAGTGGTCTCTGGCAAATTATAATCTACTTCTACAATAACTTATGTTTAAACCTGGTGCTCTGACAAATGTCCTTACAATCTTGTTCAGTGAGGCGCCTTTGTGTTTCTACTAATTTGAATCTTAGACAAGCAAAGAGAGAGGACGGGTAACGCTCGTTCAACCAACCTTCAAAAAGTAAAGCCACTATTCGATGTGTCCGCCATTTTTTTGGTGGCAAACAATAGATCTGACACCAGTTTTGTTTCTGTGGTTTTTAAAAAAAAAGTTAATTAAACACCTATTTTTTTACTTAATAAAATGGTGAATTGTGCATATATTCTTTGTAAAAATCGCAGCGAGCAGAAAACACCAGGAATATCGTTTCATATCTAAATATTTATAATAGTGCAATTAGGTGCACACCATGATGATTTGCCAGTGGCGATGTGCATTGAGGGTAAAAATTCCATAAATAAGTAAATAAATAAATAAATTTCGTTAATTTTGATTCCAAAATATTTGTATAAAATAAAATAAATTAAATAAAACATTTAATGTACAAAAATGTTTCATTTTAAATACGAATTAGTCAATCCTTAAAAATACAAAGATACTCCGCTGACCACTTCCTCTGGTGGCAGTTTGGCTTCACTTTTAGCGATACGGTTACGCGTCCTCTCTCTTTCCTTGTCTAAGATTTGAATATTATAAACATCTGCCACTTGTATTTGTAAATGTTTCATTGTGACAAAACATTCTCTTATAGCAGTAAGCCTGACAAACTGATCTTGGCGTGGTGTTATGAGTCTTCCTCTTCCTTGTCCACGTCATCTCGTATGGTCATTTGGTTCTCGAAAACGTTGAATGACTCGTGGTATTGTAGTATGATATACTTTTAACCTCAAACCTATTTCACGATAATTAATTACAATTCAATAAAATCACATTATGCTTTAACATACTTTTTTTTTATAATAAATCTATCTCGAAATATTAATAAGCTGTAGCGTTTGCTTTTAATAAATTCCACAGGGTGTTGCAAACTAAGATGAAAAAACAACTGTATATGAATAAAACCTTGACACTTCCCAGAAAACACCAATACAGTAATTACTTAGAAATAGATCTTCAATGCAAAAAAAATCATTGAACATCAATTAAGGATTAAGGTGCGTTAATTTTAGAGACGAGAAAATTGCGTAATGATTGGAACATACTTTTCTCTTTTGATAATAGAGATATGAAGATGATGTTTTTACGAAAATATTGAGAAAGGATATCTTAAAATATTAATAAGATGTACGTTTGTTTCTGATACATTCCACAGAGTGTGGCAAAATTAAATGAAAAAACAACTTTATTTTTACACACCGTATATAGATAAAACATTGACATTTATCAAAAAACATTAATATGGTAATATAAGTCATAGTTTATCCAAAACATTCTCATGACCCCATATCCATATCCTTAAAACCTTTACATAATAGTATTATTTTGTATTAGCATTTTTTTAGACTTAGCAACTTTGTTTTTTCAATATACACCACTTCTGTTCTTCCCCATGTTAACTGAAAAAACTAAATTTTCCCTCCCTCAATCAAATTCTTCCAATATATATACCAATAAATAAACCATGTAAGAAAAAATTTTAACCTTTTTTTCTGTTTCAGATCTACATATGAAAAAAGAATAAGAATTCTAGTCATTTATTATATTAAAAGTACTTAAATAAATGTGTTAATTTATTAAATGTAAATGTTTAAAATGTACAAAATATTAAAAATGAACTTAGTAACAAAGTGTTCTTTACTTATTATAAGTTAAAGTGAATTAAAAATCATCATCATCTGAGTCTAAGGCAGCTCGTCTCCTGTCAAATTTGACTGAAGTAGTACTTTTTGTTTGATTATTGACATTTTCCAGTAATCCAATTAGATCCTTTTCTGAGATTTTAGTACAAATCTGACCACTTCTTGCCATCTGCACCAACATATTTTCCACCATTTTACCTTTCTCTGGTTTTCCTAACATTAGAGTATTCACTAAAAAAAAAAGCAAATGATTAACTTCATCAGCAAATAAGTCTAGAAAATATCAGGTTCATCTAAATTCACAGACCTCCTCTCTGTAATCACAACAATAAACAGGTTTTTATGTTGATATATTATAGCTTCTCTTTTGTGAAGTTTTTTTGTAGCCTGTGTTCATAATAAACTGGGTATTGTTATTCCTATATATTAATCATTTAAAGATAATTTTAGCAAGTGTATGTCATTGGGTGTAGGGTGGGGTAGGGTGAGGAACGGGTGGATTGAGAAGCTCGGAAATCACCTTATTGCAGCCGGTCCCAAGCCCGGATAAAAGAGGAGGGTTTAGCGGAGGGTTAACTACCCACCCTCGGAAAAAGAAACTAGTTATGAAAACTGCAACTTTGCCTCGGAACCGGACAGATAAACACAAAAAAGGACAAATGCAATGTAAAAGGACTATGAATATCGGAACTTGGAATGTCCAGAGTTGGTACAGACCTGGAGCTACTATAAATGCTGTGGAACAACTAGAAAGCATAGAAATGGATATAACAGCAATCCAAGAAATAAGATGGACAGACGATGGAAATATAAAAATAAGTAAATCCACCATCTTCTTCAGCAGTAACAAAACCGAAAGACTTGAATTTGGAACGGGCTTTGTGATTAGAGACAGCCTAGTACAGAATATCGTCGTGGTACCTACAATAGGCTGTATGTTATTTTCATGTAACTTTTCAGGAAGGACAAAAAACTTCCCATCTTTCTTATTGGCCCATCGACATATGACTTATTGGAGTTGTGTATTTGACTGAATCAGTCATGTATGTTTCATAAACCAGAAAGTGTTTTTTTTTTGACATAGGACCTATTGCAAGTACCACAAGGATATACTAAATTTCAAACCTATAAACGAAAGGATATGCTACATACGAATGAAGGGAGAATGATACAACATTTCGATTATCTCAGCTCATGCAACAACAGAAGAGAAGGATGAAGATATCAAGGATGACTTCTATGATGCTCTAGAAAGAGAGATAGATACGATGCCCAAACAAGATATGCGCATACTCTGTCGGGACTTTAATGCTAAAATAGGCAACAAATATACCCCACAATATGTAAACACAGCCTCCACAATATTCCAATTGGAATGTTGTGGAGGCAACAATGTTCAGCCAACCGAACAAACTAATCATTGCATGTTTTAACTCCAGTTTCAGAGAAAGAAATAAGTCACATAATAAATAACTTAAAAAACAAGCATAGCTCTGGTTATGATGAAATATCAACAAACTTAATTAAATATGTTTCATCAGAGATTTCTCTTCCTCTTTCTTTTATAGTTAATGCTTCTTTCAGACAAGGTAAATTTCCTCAAAATTTAAAACTGGCAATTGTCAAGCCACTTCATAAAAAAGGTGATGTTACTAAGATGGAGAACTATAGACCAATAAGCCTTCTTTCATCATTCTCAAAAATATTTGAAAAAGCAATATATTTCAGACTACAAAACTTTTTTACTACAAACAACTTATTTAGTAGTTCACAGCATGGTTTTCTCGCAGGGAGATCTGTTGAGACAGCTACCTATGATTTTATATCAAAAATTTTAGAAAAACTGAGGCAAAGATGAAAACACTGGGTGCTTTTTTGGACCTATCTAAGGCTTTTGATAGCCTAGATCATGTTCTTTTATTACAAAAATTACATCTTTATGGAATACAGGGACCAGCATTAAAATGGATAAAATCATTTCACACAGATAGATCGCAAAAGGTATGCCTGGAGAAAATGGGATGTAAGGTTTACTCTGAACCGATCAATTTAAAATTAGGTATAACACAGGGGAGTGTTCTGGGGCCTTTTCTCTTTTTGGTCTACATAAACGACCTTCCAAATGCGGTGGTTAGTAGTTCCTCAAACCTTGTAAATTTCGCTGATGACTCAAATTTGCTTTTCTGGGAAAAAAAACTTTAGAACCACTCCTCACAGTGGCAGAGCAAATTCTAAGCAACGCTGAACAGTGGTTCAGTGCAAATCGGTTGTTGCTTAATACTGATAAGACAGTTTTTGTCTACTTTAGAACCAGCCAGTCACGAGAACAGTTTCCAGATACAATTAATTTTCTATCAGAAAACACGGAACCTGCTAGATCAGTTAAATTTCTTGGTATTCATATTGACCAGAATCTGAATTGGGGGGAACAAATACAAAATACAACAAAAAAACTGAATAGAGCCTGCTACTCATTAAGAGTGTTAAAGAGCTATCTAGACCAGGGGATTTTACTATCAGTATATTATGCAAACTTTTATTCTGTTATGCGATATGGAGTAATCTTCTGGGGTGCTGCAGTAGATAGCTCAACTGACCTTAGGACTAAAGGCGGGAGAATCCTGTAGAGGCTGATTCAAGTCACTCAATATACTCACTTTCTCAGCCATCTATATATTTGAATGTATTATGTTCCTTTTTAAAAATTTTCTTTGTTTTATCATCTGCTTCCCAATCATGAATATAATACAAGAAGCCTTAATTTGAATTTGCCACTTCACAGATTATCTATAACAGAGAGAAGTCCTTTGTATGCATGTGTTAAATTTTATAATAGTCTACCATCTGACATTAAACAGGAAACACACTATAGAGCTTTTAAAAGAAAGGTTTTTCAACACCTAGTTGACATTGAGCCCTATACTGTGGCGGAGTGCCTGGCCTATCCTTCTCCTTGATCAGCATATTTAATTTGTAATGTTAATATATTTTAAATGTGTGATGTCAATATATATTTTTTTAATCTGTAATTAATAATGTGATGTTATTTGCTCAATTATGTTTAAAAATTTATGCAAATAAAAATTTACTCTACTCTACAATATATCCAACGACAATGGCTTAAGACTCACAGAAACTGCAGCAGCTAATAATATGCTAATAAAGTCAACCATGTTTCTGCATAAAGACATCCATAAGTAAACCTGGGTCTCAAAACGACCATATTACGCGCAACCAAATTGACCACATCATTGTAGATGCCCGTCATGGGAAAATATTAAAGACATAAGAAGCCTGAGAGGAATAGACAGAGACACAGATCATTACTTAGTCAGAACAAAAGTCAAATCCAGAATATCTAGCCACAAATAAAATAAAACAACAATAAACCCACAATGGAACATGGATAAAATGCACAATACAGAGAAACAACAAAACTATAAAGAACAAACCTTGAACTCTGAAAGAGAATACAATGATATAGAACAGCTATGGGAAACGACTGCCGAAATAGTAACCAAGACAGCGGACAAAATCTTTATAAAGGGTAGGCAAAAGAGGGCAAAACATGGTATGACGAGGAATGTCAGAAACAGCTGGAAAAAAGACAAACAGTAAGGAAGACTTGGATACAACTGCAAACAGACCAAAGTAAAAAGGAATATTACAACTGCCAAAAAGAAACAAGAAAAATAATACGCACAAAGAAAAGAAACTATGAACAACAAAAATATGTAGCTATGGAGAGAGACCGGCCCAAACCAGGATCCAGAGAATTACATAAAGCAATTTCCTCTGAGAAAAGAGGATATAGAACCAATTCCATCCATACACTTAGAGACAATCAAGGTCATATGATAATCCACGGTAATGAAGTAACTGAAGAATGGAAAGAGTATTTTAGGTACCTTCTAAACATCATACAGGAAGAACAGCACAAAGAAGAGATCTATATCACAGCGGACTAGCCCATCAAAAATTCCTCCTTTGAAGAAACCTTAAAGGCCTTAAATAAGCTGAAAAATCACAAAGCGCCGGGTATGGATGAGATACCAGAACTTCTGAAATATGACGGAGATGCATTACATCGCCAAATCCACCAGGTAATGACGCACATATGGTTAGAGGAAAGGATACCAGCACGATGGAAGGAAAACATAATAGTGCCCATCCAAAAAAGGGACAAACAAAATGCCAATTACAGAGGAATTTCGATCCTAAATATGGCATATAAAACCCTCTCAAACATTCTTAGTAGACTAATCCCTTATGCTGAAAATGTCCTAGGCAAATATCAAGCCGGTTTTAGGGCAAACAGATCAACAATAGATCAACTATTCACGCTGAGACAACTTCTAGAAAAGGGATGGGAGTATAACAGGCCCATCCACAATCTTTTCATAGACTTTCGACAGGCATATGATAGTGTAGAAAGAAGCCAAGTATGAAATGCCATGGTGGAGTTCTCAATACCAAAGAAACTCTTTCGGGTGACCAAAGTCTGTACGGAGGGTGAAATATCTAAAGTATGTTGTATTAGAGAAAGCCATGAGATCAGCCGAAATAAAAACAGAATTGATATTGGTTCAAGGTCCCAAGCTGTTACTCGCACATGCAGATGATATAGATCTCGTTGGAGACTCCATCCTATCCACGAAAGACATCTTCAACAAAGTGAAAGGAGCAATAAGTGAAGTAGGGCTGAAGATTAATGAAGAGAAGATGATTAAGTATCTGGGGGCCATAATCACAGCTGACAATGATGTTACTGAAGAAATAAAAGATAGAATCCAATCTGCAAACCACTGTCTATTGGCACTGGATAAGCTCATAAAATCAAAATCTATAAATCCATCGTCAGACCTGTAATAACATACGGATGCGAAACATGGACTATGACCAAAGCAAACAAAGAAAAGCTCAGACGCTTTGAACGAAAAATAGTTAGAAAAATGTTCGGTCCTCACCATGACATCACCACAAACCAGTATAAAATCAGAACCAATATCAAATTAAAAGCACTCTACAATGACTCCGATATTGTCCAAGAAATTAAATCACAACGACTAAGATGGGCAGGCCATGTTCACAGACTACATAACAAGAGACGTGTAAAACTGGTATGAGAGGAGATTCCCACTGGCAAAAGACCACTCGGACGTTCCAGAATGCGATGGAGAGTTAACATCCAATCAGATCTCCGGAAAATGAACATTCCATTTGACCCTAGGTTGATGGAAGACCTAACAAATTGGAAAAAGTTGTACAGTCAGCCAAGACCCACCCAGGGTTGTAGAGCTACGTGATGATGATGATGTATGTCATTCATTCATATACATAATAGGGGTTGAATAATTATACATTTGTAATACTCTCATCTTTCTAAGAGATTCATTAATATTCACCTCAGCAGGGTGCTATTGTTTGAGGTGTGAAATTACAATAGATTCCTTATTTAGTGAATTTAACACTTCGAGCTGAATATTAATGAGTCCCTTAGAAAGATGATAGTGCTATAAATGAATAATTAACTGAAACCCTATACATAAATGATTTGTTACACATAGGTCAATTAACAAAGTGGTGAATTAAAGAAAAACTTACCACCTCAGCTTGTTCCAGATATATTATCAAATAATGAAAAGTTAAAAAGTATCATTTTAAATATATATTTATTCCTCCCTATATTATAAAGTACATAAGAAAAAGGCATATCAAATTGATTTTGAACATATTTGTCCCTATGTGTAACTAATATTATGACCACATTAACCCTAGAACATGATATAAAAATTATGACTCCTAGGCTATGTATTTGGTGTTCTGGTAAGATCTCTACACCTGGCCCATCTCTAGAAATTTTAAACAAAATTGTTTTTTGTAAATTGATTTAATTTATCATCAAACTTAAAAATGGTTAGTGACAAAGTTACTACAAATAGGGGTTAGTGATTGATGGTTAAAATAGTAAAATATATAATGAACCATAATATACTTACATCTAGCTCGGGCAGATTGATCCAAAATTTGAGCTAATATTCCATTTTTCATGTCTTCTTGGGCTCTAATTTGTTCTTCCTTGGCTTTCTGATTATTTGGATCACCTTCTCCCTACAAATATTTAAATATAAATTTAAATTTAGCATTTACCTGTATTGAAATTTACATATTGTGATTGTAATTGAGCTAATCTTTGTTTTCTTATTGTTTCCAAATCTGGATCATCCATTTTATATTAAATGAATTAAATTTAAATATACGAAAAAACCGAAAGCACAAAAAATTAAAAGATTCCAATTCTTAAATCTTAAAATAGTTTGAGTTTGATATCTGACTTTGACATCTTGCTTGACCTTGACATTAAATAAGGTTAGGAATTTGTCTTAAAAAGTATCAAAAATGTCTTAAAACACCCTCTTGAAGATTTTTTTGAATAATACATGTAAAAAGAAATGTGTTTGATTTTTTTCTATTCGTTGATATAAATAAGATTATATATAATCTCTATATATTTTAATTACATTCCTCACTATCTTTATTTAACTACTGAGTGTAAACAAAGATAAACATATAGTGGTTCGGTTCGGTATTCTCTGCATTCTCCAAAAATAGAGCAGCTTTGAATCTGTGTCTGTGATCTTGCCACAGAATAATAAACAAACAGAATACCACTCTCCACGGAAAATTAAGTACGCGCATCTCCTCCGCGCAGACGTTCCGCCATGTTTTAGGAGGATTTTAAAGAAATTAGTGTTGTTTATGTGGTGTGCATGGAAAAATTAACCAGGTTTATTTGACTTACGGCAATCATAGACATACTATACAATTATATTAACATTGTTAAATATAATAACATAAATATAATATAATTAAACATAAATATAAACAATTACATAACCACACAAATCATATGTCTGTGTCCTCCTAAAACATGGCGCGCGTGCTGAAAAACTTCAAAGGCGGCATCTGAGAGTGGCCAGGGTTGCCAGGTGAAAATTTTTGTCCTCCCTAAATTGAACATTTAAATATCCCTAGAAATCCCTAGATTGGAATAAATGTATATATGGTTGCCTATTTCTGAATAAAATTATGGGATGTATTGATAGTTGCCTAATATAATAACATTGATATAAAAAAATTGTTGTTTTATACCTTTATTTCATAAACAGTACAATAGCGATCATTTGAATAAATTTAACAAAAACGGAATAACGTACGTATTCTTTACATATTTACTTAATAAAATTAATACAAAATACAACTTGAAGAGAAATGAAACGGTGAAGCATAGAATTTTATTTATTGATTTTCACGAATCCTGTAAATCACCCGATTCCTACTGTAAATCCCCTAATTCCAGCTCCAGAATTTGCTTCTTTCTGAAAATATATAGGAATCTACTTTTGACAGAAATCTATTTGGTAGCATAAAATAAAGATTCCAAGAACGTGGACAGTTAGCGACATCTGATAATAGAATCTTTAAGTAGTTTACTGTTAGTTTAATTAGTTGTAATGAAAGATCGTGTATTTAATACTGTTAATACGAAGTGGTTTTATACCTGAATTAAAGAAAATGTTATTATAATAGGCCTATGTGGGTAAATATTTGAGCCGGTCAAAAATCCCTAGATTTTACACTAAATATCAAAAAAATCCCTTTGTCCCTTTTATACTGAAATATCCCTAGATTCGGGATAAATCCCTAGACCTGGCAGCCTTGAGAGTGGCCCTTCTGTTTGTTTATTATTCTGTGATCTTGCCATAAATCTGTGAGGTAGTGACACCTAAAATATGACATTTAAATAATCATAATCGTTTGACGTTTATTAAAAAAGTTTGGCAATTTAGCAATTAATTTGCAGTTTCTTTTATTCATAAGTATTGAAAAATCTATAATCTGATTTATACACCTTGTATGTTTCGACAATATTGATATCATTTTGAAACAATTGAATGCGTGTTTGTGGAAGCGTAAAAATAGAGGTGACAATGGACACAAGTTAATTTTGCAAATGAGGTAAATAAACATTACTGAGTCATGGAATCACCTCCATCGAGTTCAACTTGGTCAGAGGCATTCATTTTAAGTGACGATAGTGGCCTGTTATTAACTAACGAATCTGCTTCTAGCGGTAGTGTCAGTGGAGAAAGTCGCAGTGGAAGGAAACTTTTTCATTTTGAGGTACCTAGAGGCCCCAAAGATTAATTTTATGTACTTGTATGACTTTGGTTACTCTTGAAGGGTTTTCTAAATCTGTTTTGTAAAAACAGATTAAGTTTGATTAGATAAAATTTTAGCAAATAATCAATCTGATGATTACTGAACAACTAAATCTGCTATCATATCTAGATTTACATTAACTATAAATACAGCTAGGTATTAACTATATCTCTTCCAAAAATCTCATATTCGCCCTGATTTTTGATTTTAATAATTAAATTACTTATTTCGGCATTTAAAATATCTACAATAGAGGAAAGAAGAGTAGTCATCTGTATAATAATGATTGGTATGAACATACATGATGCTACTACTTTGGGATGAAAGTTTCAAACCAGTTGAGCTTGCTTCTGTTTTTTTTTATCTGGGTAGTATTAGGAAGTATTTTGGATGATCCTTGAAATATATGGATTACTATACCATAATTCCTGTTTATTTTGGATTTATAAGAAAAATATATTTTGATATGAACCTTATTACATAGCATTATCTAAAAATGAGAAATATATATCTAGACATCTAATACAATCTGTATTGTATCAAATTTTATAGAAGTTACATTCTACTTATAAAATGTCTTGCAATATTTGTCTTAAAATAATTGAACTATGTGAACATGGGTAGAAGGTTTTATTCTATGTTTTATTTCCTTTTTAAAACTTATAAATGAATGCTCTGTATTTTTCATAAGTTTAGCTCTGATTTGTTAATTTAACAATATTGTGTTCAACAATAGGTCTTGAGACAAATACTTAATGGCAATAGTAATGATGTAATTAGCTAATGACTAGTGTGTGTGGGATATTGCTTCTAAAATAGTTGTGACATCTACTAGGATATGTTTGTTTCTGCATATTTTACTTTATCTAGAGGTATTGGAACATATTTTTTTTTTAATTAAGTACTGAGTATTCTTTTAAATATTTAGAGTGTTCCGATTTTGATGTTTACTTTGCTTTACTTTTATTCTTATACCTGCACTCATTTTGCATGATCAAAAGCTTTGCGTGTTAAATAATAATTTATGTATTTTCTACTAAATAATAATATCAATCAATTATTTGTATAAATAAATAAGGACAATTTTCACATTTGGTCCCATTGAAAATAGCTTCAAATGGGTTTGACAGAATGAAATATTGTTGTTTGGCAGTGTTGAAATTTACATTACAAATGAAACATACGCAATAAAAGCAATAAGATATTTAAAAACTAATATTTAACGATTATGAAAAAAAGGAAAAGTAAATAGTTTGAAACCAGTTTTTAGCAGTAAATAGTAAAATGTCAGTATAAATAATAAAATTTAAAAGGCATCTGTTGCAATCTGGCAGCGGGTGGTTTGAGGGTTCTGACTCTATTGCCAAATCTATCGGCTAACCTATCAAAGGGCAATTACCAAAAAAATTTCTAATAATTAATTACAACTAATATCAAACGAAACAAATATTACTTCATTAATATTTTTATATAAAGGTATAAAATTGCAGAATCCATAAAATAATATGATAAAAATGTACCTTTTAAAAACTTTATTTCTTTGTATTGTATGTAGTGACATATCCTATACATTTATGTTAAATGTCTTAAAGGATCAATAAAGATGACTATGACTATTAGAAGCATATATATACATATATAATATATATATATATATATATATATATTTATATATATATATATATATATATATATATATTATAAATTATAAGAACATAGCAACACTGCCAACGCAATATTTCGTTCTGTGAAACTTATTTGACAGCTAATTTGAGGCTATCTTCACTGGGACCAAATGTGAAAATCGTCCAATAAATAAATAACACCTTTATGTCTAACAGGGTTGTACATAAAGGTACACAAGAAATATGGAAATAACCATAATTAATAACTGAACAAACCAGATATTTTCTAATATGTATAACAAAACAAATGATTTTCAACACTTCAAACTAAAAATAAAAACTTATATTATACAGAATTACAGTACATATATTACAGTTACTTAATAAATTTCACATCTTCAAAATTGGGAAATTAACAAAAATATTGGTTCTTATTCTCTATTCTACAAGGTGTAAAATGAATATTTAGGCTTGACATTAGGATCATGGAGTGTGAGGACATTATATTTGGCAGGAGTGGAAAGATATACTCTGATAAAATATAATGTGGATATAACCAACACAGAAATATAATGTAAAGGTTCAGAAACTCCCTAGAAAAACTAGAACATCATTCCATAGACTATAGCTTTCATCAAACTCAGTACATTTTTGGTGTAAGCTTTGAAGATGTCACAAAAATCAATAACCTAGTAGTGGGGCATTATTTATCCTCTTCAGGTGTTATCATCTAACACAGGTTGGTGATAACTTTTCTTGCCTAATTTGGTCTTATTAGTGACAGGAAATCTAAACCATTTCATTCTTTGGTGTTTTTTTAGCCATGATATCTGTCGTCTATCAGGACTTTGTCTGCGCTTAATCTTTCTTTCCATTATAAGCTGTAGAAAGTTATATTCTCATGCATAGGGACCTGAGCCATGATAACAGTTTTTAGATTTTTTACTATTTCTGAAAATTCTCGATTTATGCCATTTCCCTTATCCTTTTCTAATGTGGTCTTTCCATTGAATCTTCAACATATGGCCAATATACCCACATGTCAAAGCTTTATAATCATCACATTGTACTAATTTTCAATGTCCATAGCATGATACATATACATAAAATTTCACCATGCAGTAAGTATCTGAGTGTAAGTTTTAAGATCATTTGCAATAAGGAACAATAGTAGAAAAGCATTTCAGCCTCTTATTTCGTAATTTTCATCTCTTGATCTAGATCTAGTGTATTATTGATTAGACATCCAAGATATGTGAATCATTCCACATACTCAAAGGTATATGTTTAGTTCTCTAAAGTACATCTAGCACTATAAGTAGTCTTCTAGCATATAATTATATTGCCAGAGGACTCCTTTTAGAAATGATCATTGTTTTTCTTTTTATTGACTCTACCACATGTTTTCCATTCTTGTAGATTATATCTATCAAAGATATATAAATTACATATCAAACATAAATTTGAGATATTAAACCTTCAGCCTCCAAAATATTTCTTGAGACAAGTAAACAAAGTTTAGAGATTGTTGTATGAAGACACACCAATCTTATTTTGTTAAATGCTGTGTTTAATACTAAGAAGTAGAAAACCACATACTCACATATTATGTGGTACATAGAAGAACAAAAAACAGCTTTAATCAAACCAGGAAATGTAACAGCTTTTAGAAGCAGTCATATTAACAATGTCCACATACAGTTATCTATACTTATCTTCTTGAGATATATAAATTTGAGATATTAAACCTCCAGTCTCCAAAATATTACTTGAAACAAGTAAACAAAGTTTAGAGATTGCTGTATGAAGACACACCAATCCTATTTTGTCAAATGCTGTGTTTAATACTAAGAAGTAGAAAACCACATACTCACATATGTGGTACATAGAAGAACAAAAAACAGCTTTAATCAAACCAGAAAATATAACAGCCTTTTCCAAAGCAGTCATATTAACAATGTCCACATACAGTTATCTATACTTATCTTCTTGTGTTACGTGACATTACAAAGGAAGAAACTAGCAACTGCAGTTAAAATATTTGTTTTGAAAACAAAATCTGAATAAATACTTTGTAAAATATAATTAATATTTCATGCAATGTCAGTAACTACATCATCATCAGTGGTACTACAGCCATTGAGCCTTGACCTTCCTAGTCTATTTCGCCACTCATTTCTGTTCATTGCTGATGGTTGCCAGTTTACTGGGCCGATCTTCTCTGTGCCCTCGTCCACACCATCACTCCATCTTGGTCTTGGTCTACTTGTACTCATATTCCCTACTGGCAACGCTAATTGGGTTCGTCTGGGTAGGTAATTTTCATTGTCTCTTGACACATTCCAGTCCATCTAAGCCTACCTATTTTTATGAAAGATATTAAATCTATACTTATACAGTTCGAAATTTAAACCATAAAAGTATAAATGTCACTTATAGAAATGCTAAATATACAATTACAGACCCTGAGCAAAGGCTATGGGGTAAAACTACAAAGAAAGTATATACAAACACTAATTTAATTATTTTGACACTTGAAAAATTTTGAATAAAAAGTTGAGGGTCAACTGTGCAAACAGTTTGTATATGTGTACAGATATTATCATTATTGATATTTATTTAACAGAATGAAATCTCAAACTTATTTATACACAAAGGAAACAAAAACAAGAAATGTAAAACATGTCAGTGTGAGGAGGTTATAAAATGGTTCTCATATATTAATTTTTTTCATTCATGATTTACATCGTCTTCTCCAAATTCCATTCCCACAGATTTTGCTGATGATTCTTCTTACTATCATTATTTCGAATATGAATAGATGATTTGCATCTGTTTTGAAAATGGTCCTTGTTTCTGGCCATATGTCATCACTGGTAGGATGATTGTTCTATATATTGATAGTTTGGTTTTTCGGGCTTAAATTTCTGTTTTTTTAGCCCAAAATACCATTTGCTCATTGACAATATCATTTGTTTTACTGCTTCAGATGTCTGACAAGCACTTGTTACGAGGAAATCTAAATAGGTAAATTTATTTACTACCTGAAAATTATAGTGGTCTATGCTGGTTTTGTTCGGCGTTTCTGTTGATACCAACATTTTGATTTATTTATTAAAGTTACATATTTTATGCGACCGTTAAGAATGTGGAAATCACCTCTTTAAGTCCTCATGTGGTGAGTGCAATAAAATTCAAATCGTCATAATCTGCATTGACTTCAAATCTCCCTTTTTGTTCAGTGGGCATATTATGATTCAAGTGCACAATTTCATGACATTTGTTGTTCTTCCCAGACTTTGGTTATTGCTATGAATTTTATGTATAATTATCTAACCTAACCTAATATATGTATTGATATATTTTTTAGATGTGATTAAACCACAATTAATTGATAATGTAATGATAATTACATTTTTTATTTTGTTTTTGATATTTCGATTTCTGCATTGGAAACCCTTCTAAAAAATATATCAGTGTACATGCTACAAGGAAATAGTTTCATAACCATTTTAACATTATGTTAAGTTAAATATTTCAATCAGATTACTATTCATTAATTCACATATTCTAATATTTGTATTTTCGCAGGACAGTGACTGTGAAGAGAAGTCCTTGTCCCAAGATGACTCTCTAGATGGAATGTCAGATATAATGTGCGGTGAAAACTTTAATACTTTGAAAAAAGGACCGCACTGGACAGATTTTACCAATAAACATTCTTCTTCTCCCATAGAACCCCCTCCGGAGTTTCAGGATGAACCTAAAAATTCCATGCTAGATTTCTTTTGTGAAAAATTAGCTCAGCAAATTATTAAAAAAGCAATTTACGAACATAAAGATATCGAATTAAGAAAACTGAAAGTTTTGTATCAACTGCAAAGGCAACATTTACTAAGTAGGCCTTGTTTTCATTCAGAATTTGTTTCATTTAGCCCTTGTCATATAGGAAGACCAACTTCTAGAGCTGGGTGAGTTAACCTTCTTTTATTAAGTAATTAGGAAACTGATATATAACTAAGTAATATACAAAACAACTTCGTCACAAATACGGGGCTACAAACTAAAATTAGTAAGACATACAGGGTGTCCCAATTTACAGTAACGATATAAAGTTCTTTTCTAACGTTCATTTTTTAATGGTGTGCATACTATTCTAACGGATGTAACTTTGTTAAATATTGTATCCCACACCTAATTTTAATAGTTTTCGACTTATTTTGAATGTGCCAATGTGGTGCCTTATTATTACCAAACTTTTTGTCGAAATATTTTGCTCTTTCATTTTTAATTATTACATATAGATATTGACATAATTAATATAATAAATTATTGTATAAGGTGCTTACAATTTGGAATTCCAATAAGTACAAGAAAATATTTTGTACAAATACATGTAAAAAAAAATTTTGTTTAAAATGCTTTATAAAAGGTATATAAAAATGCCTCAAACGGCTATCACAAACACATTGCAAAACGTTTTCGGATTAAACAATCCATCATCAGTGCAAACGGTTGTACATGCTAGTAGCCACCAAAATATATGGGTAAAAACCCTTTAAATGTTTTAAATTTGAAGTTGTTTTACATTATTAGTATTTATAATTTGTGATGGTTAAGTTACCGTTGGATAGGTAACATGGCGGCGTATGACTCTACATGAGTAAAATGGTCCTGAGACAAGTGTCTACGAGGACCTGTTGAAAACAACTCAGAGTTGTTATCAAGTATACATCTCGTAGACACTTCGTCTCAGGGCCATTTTACTCATGTAGAGTCATACGCCGCCATGTTACCTATCCAACGGTAACTTAACCATCACAAATTATAAATACTAATAATGTAAAACAACTTCAAATTTAAAACATTTAAAGGGTTTTTACCCATATATTTTGGTGGCTACTAGCATGTACAACCGTTTGCACTGATGATGGATTGTTTAATCCGAAAACGTTTTGCAATGTGTTTGTGATAGCCCGTTTGAGGCATTTTTATATACCTTTTATAAAGGATTTTAAACAAAATTTTTTTGTGATATATGGTATACAGCCAGCTACAGGAACTTAGTTTCCTTGTGGAATTTTAAATACATGTAAACTTAAAAATATGAATGTACGAATAGAAGGCTGTATATAACGAAATCAGAACAAAGATATGAGCAGCTAAAGTGAAAGGTATAACGACAAATGCCCAGGCAAGCTAAACAGGTGGTATTACTCGTCAATACTAGGAATGAGTTTCGAAAATTTGTCCATCGGTGCAAGAGAACAGACAGAAACTATTTGTAGAGATATATAAGCGCTGGGACACGGCTACCTGATTTTTAAACGTAGTTTACATGTTGAGTTCACTTTTCTTACTAAGATAAGTTGCGTTAACTTTGCTGTGTATCAAGTGGGCGTGCCGATTGTAGGATTTTCAAAGTTTGGAGACATAACAAAGATAAATAATAGATGCATGCAATAAATTTAATAAAATAAAATAATTTCATGAGATCTGACAAAATTTCAACCAAAATAATTAACTAAAATCAAGTAATTGTGGTAGTAGACTTATATAATACCATATATAATAAAATACCATTCCTGATGAATGGCTCAAATGGAAATTTATTACTTTACTGAAATTGTAATGCAAAGACATTTAATAAGCACTAGATAATCAGTCCAATGATTGATGCATTACATAAAAAACATCAGTTTAAAATATTCCTAAAAATTATTTACTTAAGAATTTTCAGAAAATTTGAACAAAATATCACTCAATTTCAGATTGGATTGAGGAATGTTACTCAATCAAAGATGTATTGATACCAATCAATCACTCTATGTTTGTTTAAATTTTTCCAATAATACTTTTAATAAGATTTATCATAATCATCTCCTACTTATAAATAAACATATAGACAGTCATCTTATTAATCAAACTGCCAATACCAAAGTGGGAAAATAACTTACTGAGAAAATAGAGACAACAGAAGTGTAAGGCAAGGCAACATACTCTCCCCATTATTGTTCAATGTATATTTGGAAAAATAATTCAAAATCACTCTAAGGAATAACGATTGGATTAAAAGTCAACGGCAGACCTGCCGATAATACATTCACTGTCACGAAAAACGGAGCACTTGCATAAAAACTGTTTAATGATTCTCACACTGTGAGGCTTGGCATTATCATTCTACAGAACAAAGTCATTTCCAACAAAACCAGCATAAGGCACAACAAATATTTTGAAGAATTTCATCAATGTACCTGGCAACTGTTATAGGATCTCTCGGAACGATGTACAATTTTGTACGTGCCTCTAGAGAAATTCCAGCCACACCATAATTGAGCCCCCTTGATAGCCTACCCTAGGACTGAAGGTACATTCTGCAAAATGCATGTGGTCTTCGCCATACTCTCTCACGGCCATCTGGAGACTGCAAGGTAAACCTGGACTCATCGATAAATAAAACGTGCCTCCAATTATTTACAGTAAAATGAGCATGGTTTCTGGCAAACTGAAGCCGCGCAACTCGATGGCGCCTGAGAAGTTGTAGGCCTGTTGCAGGTCTGCGACTGCTTAAATTTGCTTCTCCAAGCCTTCGTCTAATTGTTCGTTCACTTACGTTAGTATTTCGGACGTACTGAAGTTGATTTCGGATTTGTACAGCCGTGGCACGACGATCTCGTAGACTTTGTAAGAGGATGAAGCGATCATCACGGGCACTAGTTCTTCGTTGGGGACCGGTTCCAGGTCGTCTAGTGTAAGCTCCGGTTGCCAAGAAACGTGTAAAAATACGGTACACAGTACTATTGGATATTTGATACTTTTGAGCAACATATCGCTCACTTCTTCCGTCTTGAAGCAACGCAACAATAGCAGCCGCTGTTTCGGGATTTACAACCATAATTCTTGAGATTAAATCAACGCAATTCAACTTCAAATTGTGTTTGACACTTGATTTGACTTGACAGTTTACTCACATCAACAAGAACAAAAGAATAACAATAGAATACCAACAGCTACCTTTGCACTTTTAAAAGTGATAAGAATAGTGTATTCTTTATTTCTGATTTTTTATGCATTTTTTTTTTCGGATAAACACTTAAGTTTTATAATAATTACTTAAAACAGGTTGTTTCGTTTGTGTTTACGTTATTATAATATTAAAAGTTTAAAGAGAATTAAAATTTTAAGTTTTTATTTTAAAAATGCAAGTGTCCGTTTTTCGTGCCGGTGAGTGTATTATATATTAGATATGACGATGATACTATACTAATTGCAGATGCTATACAAGATTTGCAGGTGCTTCTGGATTGTGCAGTAGTTGCTATCAAAAAAAAGTGGACCAACATTTAATGTTCATCATCATCATCATAATCCAGCCTTTATATATTACGTCCACTGCTAGACATATTCCTCCCTTAAACTCCTCCACTCTTTGCGATTTTGTGCTCTTTGTTGCCAATTTTTCGTGATACGCCTGATGTCGTCAGCCACCCAACGTGTAGGGGGTCTTCCTCTACTACGTTTGTCTGCTCTTGGCCTCCAATCTGTAATTTTTTGTCTTACTAGTACTTAATGTTATCAAGACAAAATTTATGACAATTGCATAAATACAGCAACAAAATACTTTAAATATATGAGGGGTGCCACTAGAAAAAGTTAAAAAATATAGATATCTTGATATGATTATTAATTAACGGTAACGAATATATAGAAGAAAGAAAGATGAGAATTGGATAAACTAGCGATATTCAATAAAATGGGAAAAGTGCTATTCAATACTAACATATGGAATTAAGAGCTTAAAAAATAAATAAGTGGCCGACTTAAAGTATTTCAGATGTGGACCTACAGAAAGGTAGTAAAAATAAGTTGGGTAGACATAGTAATAAATACTGAGGGCCTCTGAAGAATAAAGAAGGAAGTGATGAATACAAACTATGGTACAGAGTAAAATACAGAGAAAAGGCAGTTTTCGAAGAAGGTGTATTTTCTGGTTGCATATAATCTGAAAAAATGGTATAGATGTCGTTCCGTTGACCTGTGCAGAGCTATAGTTTTTACAGACCTGTAAAATCGTACCTAATGAAGAAAAATTAAGATTTTCATAATAAAGATTGTTCCGTTTTATTTATTAAATGGTTTTGAATAATGAAGTCTGTGCTAAAGCCCCCTCTTTTAGAAGACGGACGAAATTATCAATATGCCGCAAAAGGATACATTTACAAAGAATCGAGCAAATTAAAGAAACTGGAAACATTCAACGAAGATAGTAGTATACGAAAACGATGCTGATAACAGGTTTATTATTTGATTACCTTAAGAAGTCAATGCTTAACATCAATGCAGATCGAAAATCATCAACTTTATGCAGTTCTGGGCAAAGAAATAAGTAAATGGATGGTACATTATATAAGTATGGAAATAAGCTAATCTCCAAAATTGCTTAGATTTAAGCGGGTGAAAAAAAAATGTTGGTATAAGACATGTTGTTGAAGCTGCATCTGTCAAATTGGTAGTTTGTTCAGTCTGTTTTGTAAAAACACCATGGATGAATATAGTATACAGCAATACATAAAAATGATAAATTGTCAACTTTTTTTATTGGTCGACTCTTTGAAATCTATATAGATATATATATATATATATATATATATATATTGAAATTGTTTAAGACAAAATTTTTTAGTTCTAGAAATTCTTTGGGTTCATCTAGATTGTCGAGCTCCCATAATTCACTTTCAATACCGACAACTCAAAAGGTAGACGATTCTACATTCATCACTCAGGCAGTTTCACATGACACATTATCTTCCAACCAAATAAGTGATTTGTATAATGTACCCTTTGACAGTGACATATACGCAGTTCCTATTGATGTAGTAAAGCCGCCTTTAAAACCCAAAAGATCACAACTGCAAAGGAAGAGAAGAAGAAATACTGCGTGGGGTTATAGAGATTTAGAAGCCAAACATTATCGAATGCAAGTTGATAAGAATCGAACACTGGAGTTTCATAGGGTAAGTAATAACCGAATACAATTACTGATTAAGGTAGGGCGTGTTATAATTAGCTGGTTAATTAATTAAAATAGTAAACGAAAAAATAAAGGATATATATGGGTGTAAATAAAGTAACACTTGCAACTAAATGTGTTAATTGGCATGTAGCGAAGACAGCATCTAAGATCGAGGATGCAGATCGAATCGACGTGGCACCACCGCGAGAAGTGATAACTTAGTAGACCGGTCACATCATCTTAAGTACAAAACTCGTACTTAGAGAAACTTGCTCGGTGGTGGTCTTGGAATATTTTCGGACGAAAGGCAGTAATAAATTAGGTTTTAAAACTGCCATCTTCGGCCGTCGCGTCCGTACAAAATTGCGCATATATTTCTTCAAGTAACTCGATCTTTTAAAAACATTTGTACTTTCGGGAGAATTAAGGACATGTGGTTTTCCAGAACTGGACATCATAAGAATAATTAGGCAATTAGAACGTGAGAGTTTAAAAATATAACGAAGATATACAATGAAAATAAGTAATTAACATGTATAACTAAATTCATATTGTAATAAAATAATATAGGATAAGGTCATATTATAATAAAATAATAAGAATATTATAAATAAAATATTTAAATAAATAATAAATACTTCTCCAAAAAGTTACATAAGTTAGTCTTGAATACAGCTAACACCAGCTAAATGTTGATCAAAATTAGCAATATTTTCTATATACATATAATGTTGATCTTCAAGATCCTCCTTTTTCTCAAGTAAACAGTATTGCAACATCTTTATCTTAATACAAGGTCTGGCTATTAAATAACGAGACTGCTTATGAAAAAGAGTTTTATTTTAAAAATTATTCTACAATCGAATGCTCTCCTTCAATATATTCCCCTTCCCTCGCCACACACCGTTCCATTCGTTTTTTTCCATTGGTCAAAGCAATGCTGGAAGTCTTCTTTTGTTAGAGCTTTTAGGAGCTCCGCCGTTTTTCGCTTCACCTCTTCCATCGACTCGAACCGGATTCCTTTTAAGGCAGACTTGATCTTCGGAAACAGGAAAAAGTCACAGAGTGCTAAATCAGGCGAGTACTTACGAACTCGCTCTCGCGGCGTTGCCATAACTTTCAAATAGTAAGTTTGGTTTACAGTTTGACCCTCTGGAACCCATTCAGTCATCACGATGCCGTTAATGTCGAAAAAAAACGATTAGCATGGCTTTAAATTTTGATTTCGACATCCTTGCTTTTTTCATTCTTGGCGATGCAGGAGGTTTCCAGTGCATTGATTGTCGCTTAGTTTTAACATCGTATTTGAATATCCAGGTTTCATCGCAAGTGATGATGTTTTCCATTAATTCAGGCTCTTCATGTAACCTCTCAAGAAAATCTGAGCAGATCTGTTGACGGACGAGCTTTTGGTCAGGGGTCAAAATTTTTGGGACCAACTTCGCACAGACTTTCTTCATGTTCAATTCGTCATGTAAAATTTTTCTGACAGTTTCTTTATCGGCGTTTACAGTCTCAGCAATCATCCGAATGCTCATACGACGATCTCCGCATACAATTTAATTTATTTTGGTCACTGTTTGTGGAGTTGAAACAGAGAAAGGCGAAAACACGCGCGAGTTAGAGAATTCTTACGATAGGCCTTTTTCAAAAAATTATAGCACTCAGTAGGAGTTTTTTAATTTAACGAGAAATTTCACATTAATCCGTTGCTCAGGTTTTTCGTCACACATTGTTATCGGCACGAGAAAAAAACACGTTCTGTCTAACCTCTACAGAAAATTACACTACAGCGACAAAAACGTGTTTCGTACTGAAGAGACACTTAGCTATCCAATGCTGCGTTCGTTTCCCACTTTTCCCTTAGGACGCCTTCTACGCGCGCAGTCTCGTTATTTAATAGCCAGACCTCGTATTCCATACCCCATTTTTGTGCATATTAAGTAAAAATAGACAGATTACAAGAAGAATCAAAGAAAGTTGGTCTAGAAATAAACATCAACAAAACCAAAGTAATGCGTTTTGATACCAGAAACAACCAGCCTATTGTGACCAAAAACCAGACAAGCTCAACCTTGTTCCGGTCTCTCAGTTCAATGATGCAGTCCCACACTAGCCTAGACGTCACTTCCTGACACGCCAGTGCCTTCAGTGTCGCTTGACTGTCCGACAATATATGGATCTGCTCTTTTTGAAGAGCTCTCTAATTATTTTCTTTTGCACATTGCAGTTTTGGATCCATCTGTATACCATATGTCTTATCCCTTCCTTATATATCTTACCCTGTTAGTTATGGTACTCCTTGTTTCTCCATACATTCCTCTCTGGAATAGACACCCTGTACGAATTCTTAAAATTGTATTGTTTTGTCATTTGATCTGGTTTCTTATTAAAAATGTCCTTCGTCACACTCCTTGGGATATTCTTATGTCCTACTGTACCTTCATTGCAAAGTTTCAGTGATTGTTTTATAGTTTTCAGTCTGTAGGCTCGCAATCTTGCTTCTCCTTGTATTATCAAATACAATGGAGGCAGGTGTAAAAGAGCCTTCATAGCTGTTAGAGTAGTAGGTACACATGGCACCAGTTATCCCTATACACGCAAGTCCTTGCAGCTTGCTGAGTTTGGCTATTGCAGTTGTTGCTTAATAACAAATGGAAATCTAATATTTACCCAACAAAAATGAAATTAAAAATATTCGTATTATTACTATTTAGCTGTGAAACACGGAAGATACCAGTACCCATAGTACACCAATTACAAGTGTGTATCAATAGAGTGTTATGAAAAATTCTTCATGTTATGTGCATTTTCACTACTTTACAGGAGAGCCAAAAAACCGTTTATAGGACTTTGTGTATGAATTAGCAGTTTCCAGAATATATAAAATAGTAGTTGATGTGATATGTTATAATTTAATTTATGATCCCTAAATAGCTGAACAAGAGTTTGAAAATAAAAAAATAAAAATGCAAATTATCATGTTTTGACCAAATGATTATTGTTGGTTATCACTTATTATCTTCGTAATTTGGAATTATTTGACTTTTTTTATTTAATAACACTGTTTTTCATAGGCAAGAGAAACAATAATGTTTGACGAGTCTTAATTTTTCCTTTTTCCACTTCTAAGATCAATAATTTTAAACGTTTCATCTTATCTATGTAAACTGCGCTTATAAAATAGTTTTCCAAAGACTTATTTGCGGATTTTTATCCAAAATATTTGGTTCCAGGAAATACTTTCATTACCGTCATCTTTCGTCTTTCTCGCGAACAAACTAGATTTCAAAAAATCTGAAAAAGCGAAGAAATCTTCAGGTTTTATTTCATATACCTTATATTTCTGACTACTTATTCTCACCAAATTATACCAGTCGTGAGACACACTAATTACCCCATCGAACTGTTTCTTCGTCTTCTCTATATTGGCATGATCTAAGTCGCATTCTAAATGCGTATGTCCTGGAACCAAATATTCGTGATATATTGTGTTACAGAAGGTTTAATATTAAATACGTAAGTATGGAGCAACGGAATAATATTACGATTTTGACCTGGGCATGTATTAGAATAGAATATATTATGCTTAACCTTGTTGGGTATATCCTAAATAAACTTCAGGAAACATGAAGTAATTTCATTGGTACTACGTGGACCATTACCTTCATGCCACATAAAGAGCAGCTTTGTGGTGTTCGAATTCCGATTCCTTACTGTGAAATTATATGTCTGTAATTTACGTTTGTAAAACTGATACTTGTATTTAAGCACGGTGTCGCAAGACATTACTGGAGATCAAATACGGTCATCAGTACTTTTCCTTCAGAATTGCGTGATCTAATTTTATCATCTGCTTTACATTTGTAATGAAAATCGGCCTTTTCTTTGTGAATATAATATTCCGACTTCAACCTACACTTTTATTTTTATCAGTCACATTTTTAATTTTAGACAGGTAAGTATCACAAATTTTACAAGTATCATTATGAGGCTTTTTGAATTTTAGACCAAATTCTAAAAACCATTTTCGGTATATACTGAAACTTACGGGAGTCGACGATCCCTGTAATTCTGAAGGTATTCCATTGTCATTGTACAATTTGTACATCTTTTCCAAATTCAGATCACTACCTAAATACTTTCTTGATGTTCTACGTCTTGAGTAATGACTCTCGTACGCCGGAAAGCTAGCAATATGTTGACGAACTATACTAATATCTTCATCTGACCGTTTGTTGGAGGGAGTGTGTCTACCTCGTTTATCTTCTTGTATAATAGCAGGGTCAGCATTTTTCTTTTTTTTTATTGACAATTCCATTGATAAAACCTCTACCTTCAGCAGACATGGCTTGGAAGCAAGCCTTACATACTTGAACTTTTAAAGAATGTTGTGTGATAAAATATTTTGCTGTAACAGTTCTGCTTCGGCATGATACTTGTAGCTTACACTTTAATGAAGCAAGTTCAATCAAAGAACTTAGAAATTGGCATTGTTCATCCCGGGATTTTAAGTTTCGATAGTCAACCAAAATACATCGTTTTCGTTTCATCTTCAATATGATTGTTACACTTTATTCGACAGGGTAAAAGAGGACAACTGTGTTTTTCTACAAATTACCTTTCCTGATTGTGTCACATATTCTGTACCGACCGTATTGCATTAGTTCTTGATCTTCGCAAACTTCTCTGAATCCGTCCTTCTCAACGCTTCCGTTTTTTAAATGATAGTCACTATCGTTTGGATCATTTAACGAATCAGTATCACTCGACTCTTGCAATTTAGATATCGTCCAAGTCCTATCTCGAACAGAATCGTCACTGGAATATGGATCAGAATCTTGCAATAAACTCTTATTTCTTGTATCAATGAATATAATTATATGATATAAACACTTATCACTATTTGACTATAAAAAATGAAAAATGTATTTTGATCATTGCGTGACAAGAATACTTATGATAATCTGATCACACATGAACAAAAAAATGTGCATATATTATTAAATAACCAACGTTGTCAATTAAATTATATTCGTCATGAATTTAGCAGCGTCTAACCCAAACGATAACGAATGTTGCTTTGATTATTCTTGTACAATAAACACAACCACATTTAACTCTTAAAGTTAAAACACACCATTAGAAGATGTCACAAACGAAGTTTTACTATCCTTAACTAAATTTTAAAATGTATTGTGTCCATTACTTTATATGTTATATTTTATATGTGTTATTAATGTTGAGTGTCATAGCTTTATCTCTTAATCTCAACGACTATGTCTTGAAAAAGGAATAAAACAATTCCGAAAGCTAGACCAAAAGTCAAAAGAGTGTTTCTGTAACATCCCGGCCAAACTTCTGACTGCAGCTCTAATAAACTTTGTTGTTTGTTTATATCGACAGTCACTAATCTCCAGTATTTCTTATATATATATATATATATATATATATATATATATATTATATATATATATATATATATATATATATGTATATCTATATATATATATATATATATATATATGTATATAATATATATATATATATATATATATATATATATATAGTATATATATATTATATATATATATAGATATATGATAAGGAGAGATCGTTATACAGAAAGAGACAAAATTCGGTACTCTAATATTAATAATACTGTAGTAAATACCCTATTTTAATTTAAAAAATGTAGTAAAACGAATATAAATGAATTAAGGCTGTATTGTGCACTACATAGATTTATTAAAGAATAATACCAGCAATATGATATAAAAAAATGAATGTACAATTAAAACATGTGTACAGTACAATAAAAAAATAATATGCTACTGTAAAATATATTTTGCTTACATTACCAAAAAAAGTCTGTCACCTTGGTCTGTTTCCTTTTCCCTTTCCACAGAACTGACCTGACCTTGTCCTAAAGACGCATAGAATCTTCCACAGCACTGATATCGTCTTCCTGGTGGATGAAGAATAAATGCAGTACTTTTGCCACACTCAATGCCTACTGAGGGGTCGGAGCTAGTTCTGGCTCTGCTTCCACTTCTGGGTCACTGTTTTCTTCTTCTGCACGAACTGTAGGATGTCCTTTTCAGAGAGTCCAGATATTTTTGCTACATTTTCATCAAATTATTCAAAATCTGTTAGCTCTTCCGGTCCGTAGGTGATAGTAAGTTCAAACTGTCTGTGTCCTGTCTGTATTCTGCGTGTTTGAAGGAATGTTTTATTGTATTTACTAATCACTAGGATGGCGTCAAGAATCTTTAGTTTAAGATTGCCATTGTTCTCAACCAATACCATCAAAAGTCTTCTCCTGTAATGGCTTTTCAAACTCTTGATCACACTTGGGTCCATCGGCTGGATCTCAAGGACACTCGTTGTGTTTGCTGGCAGAAAACAAAGTTCAATGTTTTGAGGGTCGTACAGTATAGGATGAGCAGGACAATTGTCTACAAGCAGAAGAATTTTTTTCCTTTTAAGCTCGATATCCCACTTTCTTATCGCTTCTTCAAAAGTATTTGAAGTCATCCACGCACTCTTGTTTGATTTATAGGTCACAGGTAGATTTATTATGTTTTTAAAGCAACGTGGATTTTTCAACTTCCCTATCACTAACAATTTTCGCTTCACCGAACCTGTCATGTGCTTTGCAAACCTTTTAGCGGTCACTAAAATTGTAATGCATTCCTTGGAGAGCTTTCCACCAACTATTCCGATTTAAATTTTAAAGTTCTGTTTGGTGTCATTTTAAAAAACAATCCAGTCTCATCAGCCTTGAAAATGTCGTCTGACGCATAACGTGCCTTCAGTCCAGGCCACACGTTTTGTAGCCAATCGTCCGTTACGTTTTTGTTAATATCGCGAGCCTCTCAGCTGATTTGCCCGTAGTTGATCTTGTGCCGCAGCTTCTTCCACTTGCTCAGCCAACCCTCAGATGCCTTGAAATTTGCAATTTCAAGATCAGTTGCAAAAGATTCAGCTTTTGTCCTGACCACAGGCCCAGAAAGTGGAATATGGTTCATTCGCTGCTACTGAAACCACTGAAGCATAGCGCGATCTAAATCTTCGTACTGAGGTTTCCGCAACTTCTTCCTGCTACCACCCTACATCTCTGGTTCAAGCCTCTTTTTCCTGTCCTTCCGCATCGTAGCCACAGTTGACTGAGGAGTACGGCAAACGACATCCGATTGCTTTTCACCTTACGCTTTTTCGAAACCATGTTGACTGTTGACACACTGAGATACAACTCAAACTGGAAATGAAAAGTCGTCAATAGATTACATCTGTGTGATAAGAGTTAGGCACGCCGCCCGAATAATAAAAGCGAGTCACTTAACCCTTTCATAAGAATGAGTAGAATAGGTGGCCGCATTCCTTAAGCGCAAATTAAAACAACCGCTGGACAACGACCTTGCCACTCATGACTTAGGTAGTCTGAACTTTAAACACAATAACACATTTGTCATCGACTATTTAACGCTGAAAAGTCATCGCTATAAAGAGAGAACGATATCGGTATAGAGAAAGAATTAATACATTGTCCTTGCGGCGAACCAACCAACGTTTACTATTTTCATCGTTATGGAGAAATTATCGTTATATAGGGAATCGTTATAAAGAGAGACTACTGTATATATATATATATATATATATATATATATATATATATATATATATATATATATATATATATAATTTAGTATTACAATAAATAATATTCCACATATGGAAGATTAAATATTTTGTTTAATTTCAGACGTTATGCTTTCAAAGCAGTACGAAACGACATAGTCTTGCCGGTACATCGGCTTCCATTCAAGGCGAACCAATTCATGTAACCTTACAAGAGATCCGACAGTATTTGCAAACACTTTATTCCAGTTCGTCGGACTCGTCTGATCACAAAGAAAAAACGCTAAAACCGAAAGCAAATATTTTGGTAACCAACAATAACAGGTATCCAGTTAACAAAAATCTAGTCACAGATAAAGATCTGAATCCAATTACTGTTCCTCCAAGTAGATCTAAGAAAAATACGTTATTTATTAATATTAAGAACAAAAAAGTTAAAGACTCGTGCAATAATATCGGTAAGCAGATAAATATTTCACCAACGAAGAAAGATGAGAAACGAAGGAAGTCTCCAACAAAGGTAATGTAAACAAAATATTGTATTATTTCATTTATTTCTCATCCTATAATAGTGGGAGTGAATAATTTTCTTGGATTTTCATTTACGTTATAATCTTTACAGGTATTTTCTTTGAAACAAATGCTTTGTAACATGTTCCGGTTTAAGAGGTTCCTTACACCAGATAACGTTAAAGATGACGAAAGCAAGAAACTTTACTCTAGCAAGGGCAGCGTTTTAGATGATGTACATAATAGTATAAGTAGTAGAGCTCTGCCACCTTTGCCAAATAAAGAAGAAGGAAAGGAAATTGACGAAGAACAGATATTGGATTTCGCCACCAGCATCCAACGAGTGAAAGATGTAAGTAGATGTAGATGTTTAATTTAGGAAAATGAGAGTTTTCACTCATTATAACCCAATAAATATAAAAACACGTGTAATCATTTTAGTTCAAGCAGATACAGTACGTTAAGTTTTGGATTAGATATTGCAAACTACATAAAGATCCCGTGGACTGACCGAGTCACAAACGAGGAGGTCCTCAGAAGAATGAATAAGAACCGAGAGGTACTGACCACCATTAAATCTCGAAAGTTACAATTCTTCGGACATATTGTGCGAAATGAATCTAGATATGCTCTCCTTCAAGCCATCCTGCAAGGAAAAATATTTGGAAAGCGAGGTCCAGGAAGAAGCAAAACATCTTGGTTAAAAAATAAAGTTAAAGATAAATATTGCCATGATGATCGCCAACATTCGTAACGGATGGGCACATCAAGGAGAAGAAGAAAAGAAGAAGACATAAAGCGCTAAAATCGGCAAAATTGCCTCTTACGAGGTAATTGTAATTCTCCGATCTCCTCCGAGACCTTAGACTCCTAGATAGAAAACCAGAAAACGAAAACCATTTAGTAACGCAAGAGATATGCATCTCCGTCCGTCGATTTTTGCTTACGTATACCCGGTTCATTTCTTATATAAACTCGATAAAAGTACACTGACCATTATAAGGCGGTGCATTTGTATCGGTTTTTAATAATGTGAATAATTTTTTATGGTTGATTTAAAAATAAAAGCGCATTTCTTTAAAAATATAAAACAAAAAATATACTCCTAATAAAATAAAAAATAATTCGTAATAAAATAAGAAATAATTCTTTATGCCCTACAGAAATGATTTAAATATTTGACCTTCTACGGCTGAACAGTATCCCAATTTACCATAAAAACTTCTGCGAGCAGATGTAAGAGTTTCTGCTGTAACAGAGTTAGAGACTTCTCTTATTCAGCTTTTATTCATCAAATTTGGGCGATGTAGATGTTTAAAGTCCAAAAAAAGAAGTCCATGGGTGTAAGATCTGGAGATCGCGCAGGCCACTTAATATCGTCTGTTCCACTGATAACTCGATTTGGGAAAGTTATTATTCGGTCTTCTAAAATGACAGTCGAGACGTTAACTTTTTGAGGACGTTGAATTCGGTAAACAACACTTCTGTGCTGGTTTTCCCGCACTCAATACCTCGTAATGGAAGGATTGTGTCTCCCTACTAACAGAACAGAAGATTCATCAAAATAAAATGTTTTTAATAAAATTGGGTTCATCATTAGCTTTCGTTATTAGAGTTTCACAAAACACCATTCTTCGAAAATAGTCGTCTGGATAAAGCTGCTACGTTTTCGAATATTTAAAATTCCTCATAACTGTGCTTTTTCCATACTTTCGTTTCAGTAACATTGTTGCAGTTTCGTAACGATATATAAACATTTATATAATATTAACAGACTTTGTGGTGGTTTTGATTCTCCCTGTATTCGTGTACAAAAATACAGCGTTAAAAACTACTAATTTACCAGACGTCTCGAAATAACACCAGACGTGTGTGTGTGAGATAAGGGACGAATTTCATGTACAAAATCATAGTCGAGTGTTATCTTTCAAACCTGACAGGTGTGTGTGTGTAGGTTAAGGGTACCTGAGACACTTGGCTGCAGTCTTGTAACATAGTCGAGTTTTGTCTCCCAAACGACAGACACGCGGGTTTGGGTTGAGGGTTGTGCAACCTACCACACAAACTTCGCTTGAGTCTTGTGAAATAGGCGATTCTTTTTTATTCCTTAATTTTCACCGAAACAGAGGGTTCGCAATCCCATCGTGGCTGAAATAATTTCATTGGGTAAGGTACAATACAACCATTTATCTTGTTGCTGCATATATCAAATACGTTTACTTGGTATATAGATTTCATATTTGCTTAGAACTTTATCTCAATTGTGCCGCGATCGCGATTGAAATTGTCAAATTGAACATTTTGCATGTGTTTTGTGTTATTTACTGTATTCTATATTTGTATTTTGTTAACACCGAGTTTATTTCTTGTGTGTTTTTGTATTAATAATTGTATTAATTATTTGTATGCACCGCATTATTAATTTGTTTTTATACCATTGACATATATATCCATATTTTTATGTTTTTTTCTATATTATTTCTCTTTATAACGTGGTATCCTATACGAAATTATTTTACTACTTTCGGTCAGTAGTTTTTTTTAGAATCGACATTTTTTGTTTGTTTGTCTTTTAGTTGTTAAATACTTTGTCGTTTTGTTTGAGCCATCAGTTTTCTATCCTTAAAATGGTTGTCTTTTGGTGTGTCGTTTCGTATTGACTAATATTTAAGTTTGTATATATTCTTCTTTAGCTATAATTGTATGTTTGTTTATGTATATTTATGTTTGATTTCACTTCTTTTTAAAATAGAGTTTTATATAGTCCTCTGGCTTTCATTTTTTTATTTTAATATACATACCCAATGCCAGAGGGAGAAACCAGCGAGTTCTAGATTGGACATAATATCTTCTCTTCTCTTTCTGATGACCTCAATTTTATTATATTGAGGTCATCTACCTCAACGTGTTGAATCTACCTCAATTGTTGCACACATTTTGTGTACACATTTCTGGTGACACTTCTTGAGCGTGACATTATCTGCAATTTTTGAGGCAAAACAACAAAATTTTTAACAATATTATGAACTTACTGTACGCAAGGAATTGGTCTCCCCTCAAAAAACACAGAAAATAAATCTACACAGTGTTGCCCAGAGTTACCACCATAAAACCATTTTATTCTTTGAACCTTTTCTGAGGGCGTATAAACAGACATGTTTGCAAAAATAAATTAAAAATCTACGCTGTTATTGCTTTAAACAACCACTGTATAATGACAAATTATTGGTGATAGGGCAACGGAGGTTTGTGGAAAGTCGACGGCGCGCAGTGTTGCCATTTATAGTGTGTATATCTAATTTAAAACTTAACGTACTGTATCAATGATTTACAGATGTTAGATACTTTATTGTCCGTGTCGTATTTACCTATTCGTGGGTCATCCTTTCAATCATAAAGTTAATGTACCTTTTACCTAAAAAATTAGTCGTAACTCAATATTTGAAGAATCCACATTATGGTGATTAACTGTGATGTTGGAAGCCGGTGGGAGACGTTGGAACTTCTATGCTCTAGTTTTGGCAGAGACAAATTAAGCACATTTTGGCAAAGAACGATTATTAAAAATCACACATGTTTAATTGTTTTGTCAGTTTGTCTACATGGTCAACGGTGTTCGACGACACCAACAATAATAACGATTCACAGTGAATACATGGTCTCCAATTTATATACCTTACATTTTTATATTAAAACTAATTCACGTGTGACACGAGTTCTGTGAGATTGTAGTTTTAAATTATATAAGCACCGGTCCTGAAACTGAATGTGTGTCATGTAAACAAATTATTTTCATAACGAAGGAATTATGTAAAATTCCTTGGTCCCAATTCCGGGGAGACACGTGGGCGCCTCTACAAAACAAATCATGTAAAAATGACCACGTTTAAAAGGTTTTCAAATATATAATTTGAAGTTATTTATTACATATTTTACCTTTTTCTTATTTTTGTAGTATGGTTGGTATTGGGGTCCAATATCAGGTGAAACAGCTGAAAAAATATTATCCAACGAACCCGATGGATCATTTATTGTACGTGATAGTAGCGATGATCATTATATATTCTCTTTAACGTTTAAACTTAATAATTGTGTAAGGCACGTAAGAATCGAACACGATCAGGGTAAGTAAATGCATTTATTAACAAAATAGTCGAATATTTTTATCACAAATATATACTGCGAATAGAAGTTTTTCTCTTTTGGTATATGTGGTTTTGATGAGAGAATCTGGTGGGAGTTGAGGTAGAGACCATTCTTAGACATATTTCTTAGACAATTTCTAAAAATTTTTGAGAATTAGAACACGATTTGTGGGCTGATATTCCTACCTTGTTCAATATTGTTATTTCAGGGTAAGCCCTTGAGAGAGTTGTTGGTAATCAGCACCATACAACATGTCATCTATATAATATGCATGGAGAAGAGCATCACTTGCAAGACAATACTATGCTTGATGATGGGGAAAAGCTGATTCTACCAGACATCTACAACTGAGAAAGTTTTCACAGTACCATACATCACAGTATTTGACTGTATGCATTGCAACTCCTCTTGGGGGTAGTTTTTCCAAAGAATGTTTAGTAGATATCTTGGAGAGTGGTTTATGAGAATTTGCCTCACCAGGGTGGTGAATCGTCAAACGAGCCATAATAAATTCAATGGGAAATTCTAAATTGTTGAATTCCTGCTTCCCTAATTATTTTAAACCAAAAGTCAAGAAAAACTATTTGTAGAGGACTGAAATATGTATCGAAAACAAATGTTAAAATTGTTCTACAAATTAAACGTCCACAATTTTCCAACAATATAATACATTTTTCAGGCAACTCCTTAAAGTTAGGCCACACGCAGTGCAAGAATGTGTATGGCATGTTGCGTTTGGTCATATTGATGTTTCTGATATTTGACAATACTTGAATTGCCAAAATTTTTATTTTGTTGTGTATTTATTGTTTAAAAAACAATAAAGTTGATTTAAAAATGTACTCAGTTGAGGAGAAAGAAGCAATAATAAAAATGTTTTATTGAGGCAATAGTGCGCGAATTGTCAGTTCTTTATTTAGCGTAGGATATCGCAATAGACCAATTCCAAGTCATTCAACAATTCAAAGGATTTTACAAAATTTTGAAAATAGTGGGACAGTGATTTCTAATTGAACGTGTACAAACAATATTGCTGAGGTACCAAGAAATTTAGAAAATCAAAATAAAATAAATGTATAACAGCAGTTGTAGAAAATACTAGAATAAGTTCTCGGGCCAGTGCACACCAGTTTAATAATTATAATTCCACGGCCTTAAAAATTTTGAAAAGGAATAAATTTCGTTCATATAAAGTTCAATGTCATCAAGAACTAAGAGAAGGAGCTGCTGAGCGACGAGCGGAATTTTGTTATGAAATTTTGGAAAGGCTGATGCAGACAGACAAATAAAAAAAATTTGTTTTGTGATGAATGTACATCATCATCATCATTTTGGCTTTACAAACCTGTGTGGATCCTAGCCTCCCCAAGAATTCTTTTCCAGTCGTCCCTATCCATCGCCTTCCTCCGCCAAGCACGTATTGCCATATTTCTCATATCTTGGTCTATGTTATCTAGGAATCTTGCTCTGGGTCTTCCTCTTCTTCTTTGACCAATGGGTCTATCAAGGAGCGTTTTTCTAGCTGGGTCGGTTTGCTCCATCCGCATTACATGGCCTACCCACCTCAGACGTCTATCTTAATGTGTTTTACGATATCCTGGATGAATGTACATTTACATTAAATAATGAACCAAATGTTCAAAATTATAGGATTTGGTGGACCAGAAAGTCTGAGGATATTATTGAAAGCCATACCCAATATCGTCGAAAAATAAATGTCGGGTTAGGAATATTTAGGCACAATATTATTGGACCATTTGAGGAAACTTTAAATTCAAAAAAGTTTTTAGACTTGACACAAGAAGAGATTTTACCGAGACTTGTAGAAATAGCTCCAGATAAAGAAGAAATTTGGTTTCAAATGGAGGAATGCCCTGCGCACAATTGGAATTCCTTAAAAACAGCTTTAATAATTATTTTATTGGACCTGACTGTAATATTAACCCATTAGCGCCGAGAAAAGAAAATTCTTTTTATTTGCAATCATTTTACGTAATAATATTTTACAACTACGTAAAAACAACTTATTTTTGTTAAATTTAAGCCGAAATACAAAAAATTAATCCACTAGGCGTTTACAAGATCAAATATTGAAACAATTCATTAATTTGTCCCATTTGTAGGAAATGGTTTAAAACATGAAATGCAAAGCCCAACGTTGCATTTTTCATACATTGTACGCCCTTTTGAACTGCAAACTGGCATGGCGCACTTCTTTCTTTTGCCCTCAGGTACAAAGATAATCCAATGATCCTTGCAGTCAAACCTGACGCAGTCAGACACTCGAAAATCACTTCTTGCTGCTGCACCTATTTTCCAGTTCTTTTAGCGGGGACTTTATATGTCGTTCTTCTTCTTCAAGTTCCACTCCTATCGGAGATTGGAAATCATTCTGGCAATTATAATTTTATTGGTTACTCGCCTGAATAGTTCAATTGAACTGCATCCAAACCACTCACGGAGATTGCGTAGCCACGAGATTTTACGTCTTCCTACGCTTCTTAGGTACGAGATTTTACGTCTTCATACGCTTATATGTCGTTAAGTAGGCCTAAAAATTGAATGAATCGTAAACATTTTCTGAGTTTTGTATAAAAATACTTTTACCTGACAAATACTTCTTCTAAACTCTAAGAGACTAATATTCTTCCGGATTTCCTACATATCGTCCAAGCATTTTGAAGAGCTGCGTCTATGAGGTACGTAAATATTGGCCAGTACCATTTTTTGGAACGCATGCCGGCTCGGTAACTGAAAAAAAATTACCCATATATTTTCATTTATATAAATATTGCTCTTTATTTCTTACCAAGATATATTATTGTCCATGAGATCAGTTCCTCATATGCTGTTATTATACTGCGAAAAAAGATATGGCCTAGGTACTTGTATTTTCTTGCTATCCTTTTTGGAATATCTTTCCACATTTTTGACCGGCTGAACACTAAAACATGTGCTTGCAGATGTTACAACTTTGTTGTCCCTCCAGCGAACATATTGAATAACAGTCTCCTTATTCAATGTTGAACAATATTCCCCTCGTGCCCTCTTTTCGACCGTCTTTTTGGAAACAAGTGGACATTTTCTAGGAATTCTATTATCCCTCACAGTACCTGTAACCTCGTACACATTAGCTTTTAGAGTACTTAACTGTTTGTATTGGTTAATAAATTATCAACGAAAAACTTGTATCTCAGAGATCCTTTGTCCAATTCTTAGATCATCTGTACCATGGGAGCTGCAGCTTTTCCGAAATATTTTTGATATTCTTCATTAGATCTAGGATTTTTTCCCTGATATACTTCAAAGTTTATCAAATATCCGCTAGGTGTATTCATACACCACACCTTATAGCCAAACCTTACAGGCTTTTCTCTGATAAACTGTTTGCATCCATGATGCCCAAAGTAGCGAATCATCCATTCATCATAAGCTATATTTTCTTCTGGGACAAAATGCTCTATGAACGATTTTTTTTAACATATCTGTAAGTGGTCTTAGTTTGTACATTTTGTCATTTTTATCTTTATTATTTTTGTCTGCAAAATGACGTAAACAACAAATTTGTGAAAACCTGTCACGTCTCATGGCATCAGACACCATATTGTGCATGTCAGGGCTTCTCTCCCAGTAGCTTCTTTTAGATTGTAGCTTATTATATCCGCTGACTAAGAAAATTGCCATAAATACTTTCAATTCAGGAAGTGTCACGTTAGGGTTCGGTTGATTTATCAGTAGAGCATATTTTGTGGTTTCAGACACTATCATTTCTAGCAGCTCATTAGTAATAAATAATTCAAACAGTTGCACACAACTCATCTCTCAATATCAAGGTCTCCGTCAATATAAGTTGTAGGTTCTGGCAGATCAATTACCATTCGGAGATTTGTATTAGTTTTTATTTCATAAGAACTATTTACGTTCTGCAAATCCTTATCATAGCTTGCTTCTAGGTCTGATTGTACAGCTCATAGACGTTCAGAGTCTGCAAATACAACTTCCGCACCTGCACGAAGTTGACGAGGATTCAAGTTATTCGGGTCACCACCTTCGTCTTCGTCACCTGAATGCTCATCCGTAGGAAATTTGATTCAGGCAGCTCAATAAAAATGTCTGTTACATCATCTTCTTCATATGCGATATCGAAAGCTTTCTGTAGTGTAATTCCACTGAAATTATAAAAAGATATGTTTTGACTACATAACCGCCTAGTGGGTCCATATGGGTTATAGCAATATTTACATGAATTTTTAACTGCTCCTTGTAATTTTAATAGATCTTTTAAAATAAGTAAAATTGATTTGATCCTAGTATTCCCCAAAAAAGGTATTGAAAATTTACTTACATAACACTTTTTACTATAACACGATTTTCTAACTTCCTTAGCTTGTGAAATATAATAAAACACTGATGAGTATTGATCAACGCAGGTTCAGACAAGTCTAAATAAAGTATACATGCGGTAAACGTAATGTCGGTTGCCTGTTTTATATAACGTTAATGTGTTAAACAATAACTTTACAGCTGGGTCCATATGGTGACTGTAGGCGCTAATGGGTTAAGTGGTCCCCGAGATCTAGCTCCAAACGATTATTTTATCTGGGGGTATCTAAAATCAAAAATCTATTCCTTCCAACAATTTACAGATATTGAAGCATTAAGAATGAGAATTATTGAAGAGTGTGTAAAAATAACGCCACACGTTCTGGATAATGTTAGACGAGGATTTTACAATCAAGTGGGATACTGCTTAGTACAAAATGAAATTTTGAAGAAATTTAGAAATTATCATAAATTATTTTTAAGAAGGATCATAGTAAAACTATATTGAAATTATTTGAATTATTGTATAACCTGGAATTGAATTGGAGTGTATAACATATTACGTTAAATAAAGATTTTTCGTGAATGGAGTACATTTTATTAATTTTATTGCTTTGTAAAGTTTACATTAATAATTACATTGTTTAACAATATA